TGCAAGGTCCTGAAGTGGTTTTGCTTTCTCCTTGGCTCTCTCAGGCCTGGGCTCTTAGTTTCCATTCTAGAAGGGCTGCCTGGGAGCAGCCAGCCTCCCACCCTACCCCCACCGGGGTCTCCTGTTCTCCCCAGTTCTGTGAGTTCCTTTGTCCCCAACTTCAGGATGCTGAGGAGCCCTGGTGTTCCTCTGAAGTTTCCATGACTAATTCTGGCAAAGCAAGGAGAGCCTTTCTCAACGTCAACAAAGCCGCTCTGTCACAGAATAGTGGCAAGTGGAGCCAAAATTCCACCTTGGCATACGTCAGGGCTGTTTTTATTTTTTTCAAAAAGAAAGTTGGGAAGGAGCAAAATGATGGAAGGCACAGAGCTGACGCATTTCACGTAGTGCTAGGTTACTGGTATGTTAAGCTGCAGCTTTATGCCTTTGCTTATGAGCTCCCTCCCCTGCCAAAGCACATTGGCCTTCCAGAAGTTGCTTTACTCCAGAAGACTTTTTTAAACATTCAAAGTGTATTTTATTTTACATTCAGACTTAATGCTGGTGGGCCCAAGACTCAGACACACTATCACCTCTAGTGGTGGTTTTGCAAATAACTTGCTTTTTCAGTTGCAAAAATAAATCTGTGGGTTTTTTTCAGACCTTGGATCCAAGACAACACTTTTCTAGCTTTGACTTGTAAAGAGGCAAAGTGTTTAAGTGGAAAAGGAGCTGGATTAAAGTCTGGAGACCTCAGGTCGATCCCCATGAGGTTTTGGACCAGTCACATGTAGCTGTTCACCAGTCTCAGTTTCTTCTCCATCATAGGATGTTACATCTGGAAGGGTCATAGAGATAACTCCTGCCTGCTTATCCCCAAAGGTTTTGAGAATCAAAAATGATAGCAAAAGGTACAGGCTAATCAAAATTGCAGTGCAAATATAAAGTATCATTTATTACCATGCAGTGGCTGACAGTTGCTCAGAGGGGAAGTTTTTCCCTGGTAAAAGTCAGCAATGTTCCCTGCCAGTCTTGACCAAGAGAAGTTTGCATTGTGAAACTTAACCATGAGGCCAAATCCCCAGGGCATAGCTTGCAACACTTAATGAAAACAGCATAAAAGCCAGTCGGGGAGATGGTATAGATGGAAGATGGATAAAGCTAGAAATCTGATTTTCTCCATTGGAAGCAAGTATTTATTGATTTTTATCAACATATCAGGGCGTCTACACTTCCAGTACACATTCCCTCTCTCCAATCAATTACACTCTCACAGGAATATTCAGACTGATGGGTTTGTATACCTGTGACCTCACACTCCTATGCCAATGTTGTTATCTGTACGTAGATGAAATTCCCATACAGCCTTGGGACCTAATTTCTAAAATTGCTACGGTGGTAAAGCAAATAATTCTGTTTCATTTGTGAGAACTGAATTGTGCCCCATGGCCTCCCCCGATGCTGGCCCTTGGAGATGTACCCCTCTCTCCAAAGCTTACTCCCTTGACTATTCTTGGTAAAGAAATATCAAGGTTCTGGGGTCAGGCTGACCTGTGCTCCAGTCCTGACAGCTCTCACTAGTTATATGGCCTCTGTACATCACAGGGCTTTTCTCAGTCTTAAATTCCTCCTCATCTGTTATATGGGACTAAAAATTTGGAAACCTGCACAGATGTTGTGAGGACAGAGATATCTGTGAAGACCCTCACTCAGGTGTAAGTGCTCTAATTAATATTGGCATTGGGCCCAATGCCATTGTCACCCCCCACAAGATCTCTGCCTTACTACACCTGGCAGGTTTCCTTGCCTCCAGCCTCTCTCCATCCAGGCTGCCCTGCACTTGGAGTAGGGATTTCCAAGTTGGAAGGGACCAGACGCAGTATTCCAAAGCACCACTTTCATCATGTCTCTTTGCCGGCCCCGTTCCAAACTTCCCAAGGTCCTCACTGCCTACCAGATCCACGGAAAGCCCCTCTGATCAGCTGGCGAGACCTACTCCCCGACACCTGCCCCCCTACATCATCTCTCTCTCGCCATGCCCCTCCCTTCCCATGAGTGTGTTCCTGCCATGAACATCTCATGATGTTTGCCCCACTCAGAGTCAGTCACTCAGCACATGGTAAAACCACCTACCACCCTAAGGAACTTTCCAAAGCTTTGGGAATGTTCCAGACACTCCTGATCCCAGAAAAGATAGGGCTTGGGGAAAGGCTTTTGGGGGCACAAAGAAGCCACCTCTTGGGAGAAAATTTTCTTGTTGATTTCTGCATTAAAGCATGCCTGTGAATGGGAAGAATTGGGGACCATGAGGGCTTCAGGTAACACATTCTTTCCCAGGTCAGCAAATCCCCAGTTCTTGGTTCCGCTGCCTGGGCCTGCAGGGCACCCACCCCAATCTCCCACTTCCCCACCACATCTGGCAGGGGGACAGGCTGGGAGGAGCTGCCTGAGCCAGGGCTGCACTCTGCATTGCGGCTCTGGGTTCTGTGAGACAGAGAGAGATTGCCACCTATTGACAGATGCGCCACCTGCAAAGAGGAAGGCTTGTGTAATGAGCATTTCTCTGTGGTCTTCAAACAGGGCAACGGGTTGGTAGGCCCCTTGATTTTTCCGTTCAGTCTGTCCTGCTCTCAGTATTGTCATTCCAGTGTAAGAGAGAATGGGTGGGGACGCCACAGTCCACAGTGGTAACAGCACCGCAGTGGGAAGATGGTCTGAAAATCAGTTTTGCACTGTCATGATGTCACTTTCAGTTGTGTGGCAGGCACTCTGCTACATGCTGTGCATCTCATCTAATCCTCCCTCGGCCCTCACAGGGATCCGTGTTGCCATTGTACGCAGGAGGAAACAGGTTTAAAGACAGCGCCTTGCCTGTTACAGGGACAACTGAGGAGCAGAGGTGGGATGTGCAAATTCAAATCTAACTTGCTGACAGCATTAAGCACTTTCTTCCGACATTTACTAATTATGCAAATCACATCCTCATTATCATTTCCTTAACCTTAAATCTTCTAGGTATGAAAAGAAATATAAAAGAACTTTTCCTTTAGGTTGGGTAGAATCCTAGCTCTGCCACTTTCTAGTTATTTAACCTATAAGGTTCAGTTCCCTCGTCTGTAAAATGGGGATAATTATGATGTTGAACTTTTGGTGGTGTAGAGCTTAACTAAGGTAATGTATAATAAAAATCACTTAGCAGGATGCCAGATAGTTATAAATAGGAGCTTAATCACCTGTTGTCTGAGGGTCTGGGTTGGAATCTTAGCTCCTCTCATTTTTAGCTTTGGGACCTTGGCAAAGTTACTTGACTTTCTGATCTTTAGTTTTCTTGTTTATAAAATAGGGTTAATAACATACATATTCTTGCAGGGCTGTCTACACAGTAAGATGAAATCTTACGTATGTAAACACTTGGTAAATTTTAATTGTACTATTCAAGTATTACCCTTTATATTTTAAATAAGGAGTATCTGTTTCTTCACATGGATTTTTGAGAACTATTTCTGAAAAATGAGTTGCGTTGAATTCAACCTGTAACTAAAAGCTTTTACTTTTTAATACTCACTAAAAACAATAACATACAATAAAAAAAGAGGTTCCATAAATGCTACAGGTTATTATCTGCAGGCAACTCTATAAGCATTAACGTTAATAACACTTTTCCTAGGCAGTTCGTTTTACAGTTTGTGATACACTTCCAAATATGTTACTTCATTCCACCTTCACAGGGCAGGGTTGGTATTTACCCTTCTTTTACAGAGGGGGAAACTGAGGCTCAAGAATTAAAGCGACTAGTTAGGATACACAGCTAATAAGTGCTAATGGTTGTGGGCGCCTCCCATGGGCTGTGTGCTGGTGTGTCTTTAAGTGTAGGCGTTCGTCTGACATGCTCTTTGTGCGTGTGTGTCTGTCACTCGTGTGACACCCCCACAGAGGGTCATACATTTGTGTGCACCCCTCTGTTACAGGATTGTTTCCTGAAAAGGAAAGAAGATAGTCTTATCTGAGACGTGGTTTTTTTTTTTTTTTTCCACTGGTCAGCGGTAGCCTTTTCCTCTTCCCTTTTGGAGCTGCTTTCTGCTCCCAGGCAGTTTCCAAGAGGCCTGCTCTGCCTGGGGAGCGTGTTCGGTTTTCTCTGCGCTCCTGGGTCGGGAAGCAGCAGCGCTCGGGCCCCCGGCCTGCTGGGAGTCGCTCCCCCTTTTCTCCAGCCTGCCCGCTTTCCCGAATTCGCCTTAGCAACATCCGAAAAGGATGGGGTGTGGCCACGGCACGTGAGCCAATGAGGTGTGAGCATGGCGAGGGTTTCTAGACCAATGGGAGCCCTGTACACCCGCCAGCCGGCTCAGGACGAAGTAATAACCTGCAGTTTGCAAAGCAGCCTCCGGGTGGCAGCAGATCAGCTGTAATGGACACAGCCCCTCAGCTCTCAGTGTCCACTTTGTGTTTTGCTTTCTTGGCCTGATTCTTGGATATAAAACACCAGCTATAAGAGTCGACTGTTGGAAGCGAGTTTGTGAGTGTGAGTTCTCCACTGACATAGGGACGTGGCCCGAAGGGGCAGACTCTTAGGTTCCATCCCCGCCTTTCCTGCGGCCAGTCTCACACTCCGTCACTGCTCCTGCCATCGCCGTTGGCTTTGTCACAGCCAAGGCCACCCAGGGGGCGGCCCGGCGGCCCGCCGTGATTGCCTGCCCTCCAGTCAAGAAGGGTGGCTGGAGGACTCGCGTTTTCCTTCGTTCAACCACCACCACCCCTGGCCCGAGTGGCAAAGGAGGTGGGGCTGGCTTTTAGCCACGTTAATGTGAGAGAACGAGTTTGTCACTGACAGACGAGTGACTACAGACATCCACATTTTCAGAGGCATCGGCTGGAGCCATCCTCTGCCTTTTCAGTTCTGGTGCTTTTGTCAGAACGGGAATGTCGGACCGCAAGTGGTTTGGGGATGGTTCTAGAGCTTGTCATGGTCTGGCCCCCTTGGTCTTGAAGCCAGAGGCACATGTGGACAGGGGTTGAGTGAGACCATGTCGGATAATGTGAGATCCAGGCTTCAGTGGCTTAGCCACCTTTCTTTTGCCTTTTGAGATATTGCCTTGAACACTACTCAGTGAGATTCAGGCCCTTCAGATATCTGTATTTCTCTCAAATGTTTCCATTTCTGCCTGGTCTATTCTTCTCACCCTGTGGGAGTCAGTTAAGGCCTCCAATCTCAGAGCGTCTCATTTGATTCCCACCCGCCTTCCCCCCTCCAGCTCTCTGGTGCTTCCACTCTGCTTTCTAAAGATCTGTTTATTTGTGTTTCCTCAAATAAGGAACGGAGATATAGGGGCACAGTCCCATGTCCTCAAGAAGCTCCAAGAGTCATGGAGCTTCTTGAGGACAGGGAATGTGCCCTTATATCTCCATTCCTTAGTGCAGTATTGACATATAGAGGATAATGTTATGTTACCCAGCAAACATTCTTAGAAGAAAGGGAGCATGCAAGAAAAGAGGTCTTGCTCTTTAAGAAACAATCTTAAGGACTCAGAGGTGACCTGGGCTGGAGCAGTGCCGGCAAGGCTGGTGCTAGCTGCTAGGGACAGCTTCTGGCTATTCGGGACCCTTCAACACCGTGAGTGGTGACTCCAGACTGAGCCCTGAGCCTGAAAGATAATCGCCACCATCCGCTCATCCCGTGATATAGACTCATTTCAGTAACATGTTTTTCTCTATGATTTTGTGTTTTAGGAAGAACTAAGGAGCAAATCTAAGATCTGTGCCAATGTGTTTTGTGGAGCCGGCCGGGAATGTGCAGTCACAGAGAAGGGAGAGCCCACCTGCCTCTGCATTGAGGTAAGTCCTAAGGTCAGGAGCCAGAGGGCAGTGGCCCAGGCTAGTGTGGCTACCTTGCTGGGGCTACCAGTCAGCACAGCAGTGCCAACAATGTCATCATCTTTATGAAAACACACATTATCTACCTGAAAAGAATGAAATTTTCATCTCAGGAGTTAAAAATCAGATATGAATGCAGGGATATTTTTTCTTTTTTAAAAAAAATATTTAGCTTTATAAGATTTTTAAATTGTAAAATTAATAATTGCTTTATGTAAGTCAAATAAGTATAGATATTTATAAAAACATAAAATTAATAATCTTCCATGTAACCTTCAAGTTCCATTAGTCTGAGTTAACTGGTGTTAACAGTTTGGTTTATATTTGTTCCACATTTTTTTCCCTTGCTATTATAAACATACAGGGTTTCCTTCTATTTTATACAAAATGTGATCATAATATATAGAGATATGTACATGCTTAACTTGCATTTTGTACTCATTCATGTATCACGGAAAGCCCTGCAGGTCAGCATGTATAGTTCTAACTCATTTTTTAACAGCTACATAATCTTTAGTGGTGTAAAAGAACCAAACTTATGTAATCATTTTCCTATAGATGGACACTTAGTTTCTCACTAAACAATAACATCCTTTTGCAAATAATCCTACATGCCACTGCCTTTATTTCTATAGGATTGATTCCCACTAGGGCTTGCTAGGTCAAAGGATATGCACATTTTAAAAAATAGACAGAATGCAGGTTTTTCAAGTTTGCTTTGGTTTTTAATGAGCTATGAAAAACAAAGTGAGTTTTCAAGAAATACTTCTTTCATAAGCAGGATTCTGATAAGTTCTCACTCTTCAGGCAAATATAAATACCCTGGATGTGTGCCCTTTTCCTCCTTCTGTCAAACCAACTCAAGCTTGGAAGACATCTGTCTTTCTGCAAATAAACACACCTAACTTAGTCCCCAGGGGAAGGATCCTGATCCATTGCTCCAGAAAGGAAGTCCCCCAATTTAGAAGTCAGAAAAACAGGTACTTTGGGGACCCTGTGAGGACCAGAGGTGTCCTCACCACTGTGTGGCAGCTTAAGCCCAGACTTAAGGTTCAGAAACCTGGCGTCTAGTCTCCGCTCGGCGACACACAGTCGTGTGATTTTGAACAAGTTAGTTGCCACTGGATGCCATGAAGACGGAGACCATATCTGGCTTTGCCCAGTGCCCATCACAAAGTGGAACTCAGTAATAAGTATTGGTTAAGTACAGCTCGTCTTTCTGGCTTTAGTATTCTTGTCTATAAATTGGAAAGGTTGGGCTACCTCCCAGCTCCAATGTTGTATGTTTCCTTTCACCACATCTGCTCTTTGCTTTGGTGCCTTTATTAGGTCTGAGCTGGACTTGCTTCCCCCTCTCTCCTTTCAAAAACCACAAAAGTCTTAAGAAACCGAGCTTGCCTGTGTCCATGCCACTTTAAATAGCCAAAGTAGAACCGAGTTGCCAAGTGAACTTTAGTCCACTTCATTGTTCACAAAGACTCAGGCACCCCAACCCCCAGCCTCACAACAGTCATTGTAAGATTAGGAGGAAAACAGAATGGCCCCAAAATACTAAACAAAGCGAGAGAGCAAAGATTCGTACAGTTTGGCCCCAGAAGAACTGAAGAATTGGGGCGTTTGCCTGCTTTTCTCATTTCCAGCTCTCAGCTCTGGCTGTTTCACGTCATAGAATGTTGGGATTTTAAGGGATCTTAGGTCATCCAAAGACACTGAGTGACTTTCTACAAAGTGACAAAGATCCCAAATTCCTGACTTCTAATAAAATGCCCTTCCTGCGAATTTCATAGGGGTGGGGCAGGGAAGGGGGTCTGTATCTTCATTGAATAGAAGAGATGACCCTCAACCAGGATCAGCACAAAGGGCCTTGTGGGGCTGCACAGTACCTCCAACACTTAGTGGGGTAGGGTCGCTGAGGCTCCCTCTGCCCTGGTTGGATAGAGGCCACCTCTGCTGGTGAGGCATCCTCACAAGATGGCTCTGTGTGCTCGTGTGTGCATGCTCCTATGTGTGCATGCTCCCGTGTGTACGTGCTCATGGGTGTGCCAGCACCCCCTGACTGCACGAACATCCTCTGCGGGTCTGTTGCAGCAATGCAAACCTCACAAGAGGCCTGTGTGTGGCAGCAATGGCAAGACCTACCTCAACCACTGTGAGCTGCATCGAGATGCCTGCCTCACTGGATCCAAAATCCAGGTCGACTATGATGGACACTGCAAAGGTAAGGAGCGCTCTCACCACTGCAGCCATGGGGGGCCAGGGAGCGGAGCAGTGTGGCATGGATTCCCGGAGTCCTTTCCACCTTGAGCACAGCACCCAAAGCCATGGAGACCCACCCAGGTTCTTGGAAGCGTGTCCTCTTGGCACTCAGGAGTCTGCTGGGTTCATCCTGGAGGGTCCAGGCCTCTGCCCAGGGTTTCCTACATCAGATGCCCAGGAGGGCTTCCAGCTCTGTCTGCAGCTGGATAGTGGATAGGGGACCACATCAGTAAACAATAATAATAAGGAAGCGTTTAAATGAATTCTGCGTCTTTTTCAAAAGCAGGTAAATTTCACTTTTCCTATGCTTTTAAAATGTGGGTACTTCTCAGCCCTGGTAGTATTATATTTCCTCTATTTTACACTCAAACCATTGCCATTAGGATAAGAGGGAAGGGGTCCCATGCTTGTTGCTAATTAGACATTAGCCCCCCTGCCTAGCCTTTCTTGGCCTTGAACTTCCCTAGAGAAACAAGAAGCCATTTCCCACATGTTGGTCTCCATTCCATTTCCATGTCCATAGTGATTTCATATGAATTCTCAATTTCCTAATGACCCCCCCATCCAGGATGAGGTGTGAGACCAGGAGGGAACTCAGTGGCCCCAAAATGTCTAACAAAGCAGGTAAGAAAAGACCCTTAAACTTGGGTCCTGGAAGAAGGAATAGAAACAAGGACTTTAAGACAAAATGATGAAAAGGTTACAAGTGGCCTCTTAATGTGGGGCCATTTTAATCCTAGTAATACACAGAAATTTTCTTTTTTCTTCACTTTGCATTATGCATTTTCTCCTTTTGTCTTACAGAGAAGAAATCTGTAAGTCCATCTGCCAGCCCAGGTGAGTGCCTGTTTTTCTACAGTGTGCATCTTAGGGAGGAAATTCTTTTCATGGTGGAAATTTCACGTTCCACAATCCCTGCCAAAGACCACAACATCATCTCTGTGTCAGCCCTGCGACCCACAGCTCATTGCTCTTTGACATAGCTCAGAAAAGCTGCAAAACTGCATTCTTTGTGTTTGTCATTTGAAGCATCTGGTTGGGTCAGAATGTTGATTGCATTTTGCATTTTTGCTGAGTAATGATTGAACTATAAGGGCAAAAAAGCCACTGAGTCCTTCATACTGACGTCAGGGTATGAGCAGAATCAGAAGGCAGAACTTTCCTTGAAAGGGAATAATTTGAAATGCCAGTAAAATTTCTTCTGTGATTTTCTACAAATAAAAAGTAAAATTTCACCACAATTGATAGTTACAGACCCCTTTAGCATATACTTTTTCTTAATCTTCTCAATAACCTTGTGAGGTAGATTTTATTGTAATTATCTTATAGATGAGGAGATTGAGGCTCAGAGAGGCCAAGTGAATTTCCCCAAATCGCACAGCTAAAAAGTGACAGAGTGGGGAAAGGTGCCCAGATTTTCACTCACTGGCTTGGTGCCCTTTTCACATCCTAACGTGTATTGTCTTCCAGGAATTCCCTTTCACCAAGTCTTTAACTCCTCTGCTTCCCCACCCACCCAACTCTCAGCCCCACCTGTTGTTTCCATGTGGCTTACGCAGCTGTCCGGAGCCTGACTTCAACATGGCCTTTCCTTGACCTCATTTGCTGTTGTGTATAAGGCTAATGCAGTCAGTATAAAATGTTAGGTGGGAGAAAGTTTTGATAGACCCAGTTGGTGAGAGAGGGAAAAGCTATATAGAGAGAATCAGAAACCCGGTGGCATAAAGAGCTACCACGCTCTCCTTTATTCATTTCTTATTTCAGCTTATCTTTAGGCCAAGAGAGCTGTGCTGTTGACTGATTGATTCCCCCGCCCCCTGAGCTTCCTAAAGTTATTTCGCTACTCTACTTTTTTTTCTCTCACCCATGCAACATAGTCTCTTTGTTTCAATATTCTTGATCTTTAGAATTTTTTTAGAGATGTGAGCTTGAATCCTGGGTTAGACACTTTGCAGTGTGTGCCCTTGGTTGACTCCTCTGTAACGTGTGCATGGTCATCCTGTTTCCTTGAGTGCTGTGGATCTTCAATGAGACCATGTGCTCACAGCCCCAGGCATGAGACTTCCACGTAGTGGGTGCTGGGTGACACTGGGGTGCTCACTGCTCAGCTGACCTCTCCCCATGTTCTGCAGTTGTTTGCTATCAATCCAACCGCGATGAGCTTCGGCGTCGCATCATCCAGTGGCTGGAAGCAGAAATCATTCCAGACGGCTGGTTCTCTAAAGGCAGCAACTACAGTGAAATCCTGGACAAATACTTTAAGGTAATCCAGAGTTGGGGTAAGAGACTGGTTAGCCCTAGAGAAAGGGAGACTCCCTCTCCCATGACCAGACCCCAAAGAAACACAAACCTGCGGAGGGTCCTTATGTGTTTCCTCATCATAGATCATTCCATAGAGCAGCAACAGTTGCCTTCTGACCAGCTTGACCAGTGGGAGTCCAGCAGTATAGCCTTTAGGATCTAACACACGTGTTGCTCCATTTGGGCAGTTAAAGCCACAAAGGTGTTGGAAAGCTTATCCATGAAAACTATGGCCAGGCTCCATCCCCACTACCCCACATGACACTTTATAGAACTAGCTGCCAATACAAAATACCTCCTGATTTCACTCAGGCCCAAGCCTCTTCAGCCACTCTGCCACCCAGTTTGACATTTCTCTAAGTCATTAATGACCATCCATGGCCTGCAGAGCAACTCTAATCTGAGAAGAGTTGATGGATTGTCATTTCAGAGGTCCAGGATCCTTCCTGAACCTAGATATTGCTACTCTCTTCATATTTAGTTAAAGGGACAGGTTGTTCCCAATGGGGACAGGAGAGATGCTGCTTCAAAAAGGAAAATGAGGGAAGACATAGTACTTAGCAACAAGTGGGGCTACCATGTCTGAGATCTGTCAGAGAGCTTGAGATAGCTGTTGGAAGAGCAGTTAAGGGTGTAATTCCAGCTGATGGACAAGAACACAGATGCGCAGATACGTACGTCACTCTCAGAGCTAAACGAACCACATGCAAAAGCAAGTGCACATACCCATGGGCACACACATGTGTGCATACACACACCCTTCACGCACACATCCACTTACAGAATTGCACATGCCACACAGAGACACATCCTACTTAGTGACACACACATTCAGTTACCCACATTCCCACATAAGCACAAAAGCCCCCTAACTTATAGACACACATCTCTGGGTGCATGCCCTTGGATGCTCTCATGCCCAGACATACATGGCCTTATGTGCCTCCAGAGCCTCTCTGTCCCAGGACCTAACTACCCAGGACTTGGGAACAACCCCGGACACATGAGGGACTTCTTGGGAGCTCTGTGGTCACCAAATGTGGTCAGCATCAGTCCAGTCTAAGGATTCCTTTTTCTAAATGACATTATGGACCCCACATACTAAGTTGGCTTAAGATAGGATATCTGGTAATTTAAGAGTTTGCTTGTGTTATTGTCGTTAGGTGGTTCTCTCCTCTATGGCACAAAGTATATCTCTCTGGATTCCAAGTGTTTGAGATCACACCTGGACGTTGAAGCACAGCCCTTCTCACTCTGTCCTCTGTTTCAACCCCTTCCACACTATGGAGCCCTTGGTGGAGCAAAGGGCTACTCATTTACAGAAAAAAAAACACATCGTACTGTAGAACCAGGAGAGTTAGGAGCAGAAATAACTTAAAGAAAATAGTTTTTCAAAAGCCCAGTGAGAGGCACCTGCCAGGTCATTACGGCACGGGAGTTGTGGGGCCTCTGGACACTCTTTCCAAGAGGCCCTTGGGATCTCGTCACTGGCAACCTGCCTCGGGCATCACTCACACCTGGTATTAGTTTGATTCCCAAGTACCTGGGCTCCACACCTCCCTTGACACAGCTCCACCTCTTCTGACAGTAACAGGCTCCTGTCAGAAACCTACAAGTCCTCTTGAGAAAGTAACTTTACTATAGAGCATTCTCACTCCCAACCAAGGAAGCTTGATCGTGACTGACACACACAATGCTAGCTCTTCCCAAACACTCTGGCAGTGTCTTCTGAGCAAATAAGAGCTTCACTATCTACTTTTTTTACTTTAAATTATTTTTTATTTTTCAATTACAGTTGACATACAATAATATATTAGTTTCAGGTGTGCAACCCAGTGATCAGACATTATATAACTTACTAAGTGATAATCCCAATAAATCTCGCACCCATCTGACACCATACATAGTTATTAGAATAGTATTGACTATATTCCTTATGCTGTACTTTACATCCCCATGACTATTCTGTAACAAAAAAATTTGTGCTTCTTACTCCCTTCACCTTCTTCACTCATCCTCTCAACCCCCCTCCCATCTGGCAACTGGCAACATGTTCTCTGTATCTATGAGTCTGTTTCTCTTCTGCTTGTTCATTTATTTTGTTTTTTTAGATTCAATTGTTAATAGATGTTTTTATTGCCCCTTTATTGTTCATATTTTAAATCTTTCCTTCTTCTTCTTCTTAAAGAAGACCCTTTAACATTTCATGTAACACTGGTTTGGTGGTGGTGAACTCCTTTAGCTTTTTCTTGTCTGGGAAGCTCTTTACCTGTCCTTCGACATCTACTTCTTGATGATTATCTGAGACCTGGGCGTGCAGCCTCCAAAAGGAGACTCCCTCTCACTAGGCAAACAGTTGCCTGCTGATAAGTGATCTGGTATCGCACAGAGACTGTTTCTGCACCAGTGAATCGCCCTCTAGCCCAGCTGGCATTCCTTATAGCAAAGTTAGTTGAAAAGCAAATCTAATCAGAACGCGGATAAGACCAAAACCAGACTCTCACCTCAACTGGGGATTCAGTCATTATTTCGTAGGTGAAAGCGTGAGAAGAGGTGAAGAGAGAGCCTTTCCTGGCCATGTCACGCACCCCGCCTGGGCTCTGGGCGGCAGACTCCTGGTGGTCAGGCTGAAACTGGATCCAGCCTTCTTCTCTCCCTTACGCAGTATCGAGTTCTCTATCCCCCAGCTGCTGTGCCGGAGTGAATGCCTGGCCTAGCCCATCTCCTTTCAACAACCTCCAAACTTGCAATAAACCCCAAACATGGATCTCATAACACACTTTCCTGCTTTTCCACAACCCAGTGGTTACATAGAAGAAAAAGGTGGTTATCTCAGCTATAGAGCTGGGAAATGCAGGTATAAAGAGGTACTGTGCCTTTGTAACTGGTTGGTTGAATAGAGGCCAAGTGAATTAAGTTGGTTCATGGTCCAAGTTCATGCAGGCCCCCTAGGGATTCCAACCTGTTTTGGGGGCTTTTAGATCTGTTTTCCTGTGGATGCCACATACAGGCCTGGCTTGGGGAAACCCTCAGGAGATGAGTGCAGGCAGGCTGGCACCTCCCTCAGCTTCAGGCCTGGGATCTGGTCCCACAGAATGTGCAGTGAGTGTGCTCAGCACTGCCTTTGAGAGCTGCCTGGGCTGTAGTCGCCAGATTCCAGGTGCCCTTGGTGCCCTCTGGGTGCACAGCCATTGCTGGACTGCTACTCTCCCCACACTTGGTCTGTATTCAGGCCCTGATGGGGTTGGGATCTGTAAGAGTTGCTCCAGTCTATCCAGTACTTGCAACATTTGGACTCAAGAAAGTCCTATGCTGCTAAGAATGGCACCTGGCCAACCTTATCTCATTTCTCTCCGTTAATTAATCAAGACCTCACAAGGTGAATGCTTAGGGAAGTTTCCTCGGGGTGAATGTACAGTGACTACAGAACATCTGAGACCTCTTCCTGGGAATTAAGACAAGAATGATAAATCAGTACTAAACAAGGGCCGTCATGGTTATCTCACACATTCCTGTCATCATACATGCCCCGGAGAGATTTACAGCCTTAGAGTGGAATACATGTGACCATGAAGTTATGGAAGGAGAGTTGATGGCTGTATCTTTACCTTCTACCTAGAAACCTGGACAGATTTTTCTTCCAGAATTCCTTACACCATCTGGGAATCCACCTCGAAGGTAGCATGAGGGTGCTCATTACTTCCCAGAGCAGCAGTGTAAGACAACCTAAGGGAAGAATTTTGAAAGAAAAAATTTTTCCATTGGAACTGTTTAGTGTCCAACTTGGAATTTGATCTGAGCCTTGAAATTCACAAGCTCCTCGCGCAGCTAGGGCCTGAATAAAAGGTGTTGGTTTAGCATCTTGACGAAGTGGGGACAGTGCCTGAGCTCTCTACAGCCTCACCTTGTGCTCATGGGGTGTCAGCTGGGTCACGAGAACAGCCTGCCCTGGGTAAGCTGAGGACTTGTGCTCACATCTGTAGTGAGGCCCACAGCACAGGACAGAGGGGTGGGGGATTTTGCACCACCTCCGCCAGCAGGTTCTTAATGCAGGCCTTTTCTTTTGACTCCTCAGTGATGTGGTCAGTTAGGGGTATCAGTGTGAACGTTAAGCACTGAGCAGGCCAGGGAAGCTAGAAATCAGGCAGTAAGAAATGGTCCTGTGAACTCTGAGGGCCACTGTGTCATGGTTCCCAAGCATCGTGTTAGAAATACACTTCCTGGCCCAGCCGGGCGTGGCTCAGCGGTTGAGCATGGACCTAGGATCCAGGAGATCGGGGTTCGATTCCCGGCCAGGGCACATGCCCAGGTTGCAGGCTCGATCCCCAATGACTCTCTCATCATTGGTGTTTCTATCTCTCTCTCCCTCTACTGCCCTCTCTGAAGTCAATAAAGATATATAAAAAAAATTTTTTTTAAGAAAAAAGAAATACATATCCTGGGCTCTGCCTCAGAAATTCTGACTCACAGCTTTGTTATCCCATGTTCGTTAGGGTTTGAGAATGTGGTGTGGCTGGCCTGAACCCAGGGTGCCATCAAGACTGCAGTCTCTCAATCCCCTAGGCTTTTTGGGCACCACAGGCTGTGCTCAGGCTGCCCTCCCAAGCAGGGTCTGGGTTTGAAAGGCCCTCGGTGGCCTCTGCTCAGGCACTTTCACCCTCTCATCTTGGGGCTCAGGCTCCTTTGCTGGGTGCCCAGGGATTCGAGGACTCAAAGTGTTGTAACCCTTTGAGGCTAAGCCAGGGCAGGGTTGGTTGGAACGTGTCAAGAACAAGGTGAACCAGAGGTGGGTCAAGCTGAGTGGGGAATGCTGCAACTAGATTCTACAAAATGTTCCTGAAAGATCTCTTTATCCCCTTTCTAGAATTTTGATAACGGCGACTCTCGCCTGGACTCCAGTGAATTCCTGAAATTTGTGGAGCAGAATGAAACCGCCATCAACATCACCATCTATGCAGACCAGGAGAACAACAAGCTGCTTAGGTGAGTGGAGTGAGGGGGCAGGGAGGGGTCTATGAGGGGAAGGCTGGATAGGAGAGGGGATTTGAACCCTTTCGTACCTGCAAAGGAGCCACCAGTATTGATGCAAAGTAAAAAGCAAAATGGGAATTCTGTCCTGTTCTATTCTGTGAACATTATGAACTAATATACTGAGCACCACTGGTATCTGATCAAATGGTTATTGTTTTTGGCTAGAACTTGCAGTGAATAGAAGCATGTAATTTTAAAGTAAGTGATCAAGGGTACATCAGAGCAAAGTTGTTTCTGAGTGCTGTGGGTAATGTTTTAATAGTTAATTTTCTGAAGGAATTACTTTAATGTTTTATTTAACCGTAGCTTAGTTCTGATTTTCAAGATAATCGGTGCTATTTCATCTAGAGAACCTTAATTGTTACAAATGTGAGTGTGTCTCTTTCCTTTTCTGGTTTTACTCCAAAGCAAATACTAGTAAAAATGAATCCCTGAGAAGCTTCTGGTGTGGTTCCAATACACTGGTAAGAATTAAAAATAGTTTAAGCACCACTTCGTTCAAAAGAAATACAAAGCATGAATCCCAGATTCTAGAAAGATTCCTTCTTAATAATAGTCTATGGCCAAAGTATAATATTTGAAAATCCTTCATATTTTGATAACCTAAAATTAGACTATATTTTACGAGTTCAATGTTTGATCCTCATAACATACCAGTGAAGGAAGACTCCTTGTCTCCATTTTACAGACGAGAAAACAGGCACAGAAAGGTTGAATAACTAGCTCAAGGCCATTTGGGTAAGAAGTGACTGAGCCAGGGCTCAAATGCAAGCCACAGGGAGAGTGAGGGAGCTGGGATTCTATGAAACTTCTGGGAGATCTCATTCTAGAGTGGTGATGCTTTCCTGAGCTCCACATTCTTTTAAATCACATATTCCTTTCATATCACCTATTCCTCTCTCTCTTCTCTTTTGATTTTCCTAGTTTGGTTGGCTTGACACTTATACTATAGGGAAAGGCAGTTACTGGTGGAAGGTGTGCAGGCAATGAAACATTTGTCAATCAAAATTGGACAGAACCATTCAGGAAATTTTGGTTGCCTTGGGGAGGAACATTTGAGTGATCTGACATTCGGTATAACGAGCTGAAGGCTGGGTGCTTACAAGAGTCAGGGTGGTTGATGGTGGTGAGAGGTCAGGGTAGAGAGAAACTTCCTCAATTGACAGTCACCTTCTTGGCCTCCTGTGGGGGCCCAGGTGTACATGGTCCTGATACTTTTCTTTCTTCAGGAGTGAAGCTGAGGTCTGGCTGACACACTTGTGTGTTTTGTTACAGAGGACTCTGTATCGATGCTCTCATTGAACTGTCTGATGAAAATGCTGACTGGAAACTCAGCTTCCAAGAGTTCCTCAAGTGCCTCAACCCATCCTTCAACCCTCCGGAGAAGAGTACGCTGCACCTAAGAAACAGGGAGTTACAGGGATTGGGAGCATTCCGAGGGGGCCAAGATTGATGGCACTCTCTAGAGCTTGCTAAGAAAAGTCCCTTCCACGATTCTAGGTGGGCTGCAGCCCATCATCTCCATGGTGATGTTCAGGTCCAAAAACCTTTGGCTAATGGTAGCATTTGCTCAGATGTGGTGCCTCTGAGGGACAGGCAGGTGCTGTGTGGGGAAAGGGTAAGGTGCACAGACTGTAGTCAAGACTCTGTGTTCCACCTTCACCCTAAACTATTGCCCCCGCTTCTCCCAACAGAGTGTGCCCTGGAGGATGAGATGTACGCAGATGGAGCTGAGACCGAGGTGGACTGCAACCGCTGCGTCTGCGCCTGCGGAAACTGGGTCTGCACAGCCATGACCTGTGACGGTGAGCTGTGCCTTGGGCGGCGGGGAGGAACAACAGGGGCAGAGCTTCCTTCACGAAATCACCATGAGCGGCAGGGTGGGGATGGTGGAGAAGCCTCCGGTGGCAGCTGGAGCAAGGAACCCGCGCAGCAAGTGACAGGCTCAAACTCGCCGTATTGGAGCTCCCCCAAGGCAGCGTTGAGGACAAAGCGCTTACCCCAGACACGGAAAGTTTGAAAATGACTCCAGAGGCTTGGAACAAAAGAGGTTCAAGACCCAGGGCAAGATCCAATGTTGATATGAGATTGAAATAGTGACAATAATAATGAAAGCAAATGCTAATTTAATGAGCACAGTATGCCAGGCAGCTTCTAAGCACTTTACCTAGTAACCCACTTAACCCTTATGACAGCTTAGGGAATCCTCAATCTAAAAGACTCAGGTGTTTGGAAGATTAAAATACTCCTCCTCACCAACTGTTCTCAGCAAAAAAAGGAAGAATGTTTGTAACCTTCTTTGAACTAACAGAATTAGATATTCCTTGAAAAAGAGAAAGTTGAGGGTGGGTTGGGGATATAGAGATGTCAGAGAGAGTTTGGGAGGCCAGTGCAAAAGCCAAAGGGTATGTTGGAACCACTAGGGTCCCATCAAGCTCCTGGGCTACAATGATGTCAAAAATTAAAGCCGAGCCCTGGGAAAAATCAGGCACCATTCAGAGTGGAGGTGAGACAGAGAAGGGTGGAGCCAGGTTACATTTGCTCTGGGAAGAAAGGTCAGTTGGAAGGAATCAAACCCCAAATTTACACCAGATGTAGTGAACCAAAAATTATCTTAAACAGCTAACTGAGACGAGAAAAAGCAGGCTGCTCCTGGGATCTGATAACTGGAGACAGAGGTCAAGGACCTAGGAAGAGATTTTTCTAGATAAAAAGCCCAGACAATACCAACAGTACAAATGGAACTCAGTGCTACCCAGGGGATCCCTCGTTTCCCACTCCCCAGAACTAAGTCTCTTCTCAGTGCAGGAGGCCTAACTCCAGAGACAAGTGAAAGAGCACAAAGAGGCTATTTAAAGACCAGAAATGCCTAGAAGTCGCTGGAGGCCAAATCAGAGCTAGGGTAGCCAAGCCAAGCACACAGTAACTACTGAAGCCAAGAGAGAACATCTCAGAAGAGTACCCAGACTGCCTCAACCAGGAAGCCTCCTGTACTTGTCTTCCCAAAACTCCCCACAATAGCTTTCCACACCTAACTGCTCCTGGTCTTAGTAATGGTAGCCGTCCATTTCTAAGATGGGGCAGTTGGTGAACAGCTGGTTTATGATCATCTGGATAATCACCCCATCACAGACTTCAGACATAATCCAAATGATTGCCCCACTGGGACTGTGCCCATTTCCACAGCAGCTGACTTGTTTTTCCTCTCTGGATGGTCCAGGTTCAGAGCCGTATGTGGGTGTAAGAAGCACTTTCCATGGTGGTGCCCCAGGGGCCTTAGCACGTCTTGGTGTATGGACCATAGATCTGAAAGGACATCGTAGAGGCGGCAACCAAGGGATTTTTAGGTCAATACCTGAAAGTTAGATCCTAAATCCCAATGGTGTAGAAAAGAAGGGGCACCAAGAGTGAAGCCAGCTGGAGCCAGAGCCAAGGTAAACTGCCATGGGGGCAGCTAGATGCTCAAGTCAGGAAGCCAAGGTGGAGCAGTGTTTCCTAACAACAAGCACTATTCTCAATAAACGTACAGCTTGCTGGGCTCCATCCCAAACCTACTGAGTCTGAATCTGCAGAAGAGCAGCTTGGAAACCTGTGTTTTTAAGATGTATTCTGTGATTTTTTTCTCACTGTGCAAGTTTGGTAAACACTGTAGGTGTGGTGATCAGCCCTGGCTGCACATCAGAACCACCTCAAGAACTTTACAGAACCCTATGCCCAGGCCCCTGCCTCACAACAGTTAAATCAGTCTCTGGAGGTACAGTCTAAGCAATTGTATTTTGAAATGTTCTGTGAAAAACAGAGAATCATTGCCCCAGAAGAACTTGAGTCAGGATCCAGATTTTCTCTGTAGCTCCTTCTGCAAGGCTGGTTCCTAGAATGGATGTGCTGGAGCAGTTGAAGACACTAGGGAGAGAGGCCGGAGGAGAATGGGAGTAGATTGCTTTGTTTTCAGTGTGTTACTTTGGGTGTGTCAGAGGAACAAGGCTAATTCACCTCTTCCACAGATTAAATGGGAGATGAAATTAAGAACCTAGAAAGTAGATGCCAGCGGGATCCCTAACTGGCTTCCCTCAGCCAACTGTGCTCTGAGCTTTGGTTCTTCTTGCAGGGAAGAATCAGAAGGGGGCCCAGACCCAGACAGAGGAGGAGATGACCAGATATGTCCAGGAGCTCCAAAAGCACCAGGTGAGTTGCAGCCTCCATGCTGATTCAGGTATCTCTGCTGCCACCAGTCCCTTCCATCATTCAGACACTGGCTAATGTCACAGGAGAGCAAAAAGATGCACTCTGTTTAATACAGTAGATCTTGAATGATACGCCTATACTATCAAACCATGATACAGTTCCCTGATGATGTCCTTGCAGAGTCCCACAGGTCCTAGCAGATGTAGATTACAACTTGATAAATTGCTTTATAAGTAAGAATCAGCCAGTTGGTGATTTGCAAATGGGTTGCAAGTGGTTTACAAATGAGCAAGGACTAAAGAAGTTTACTGTTTTCTGTCACAACCAGTGCCTAGACCTGAAGACATGAATTCCTGAAGGCCAAGCTATATGGCTTGCTTACCATTGCATCCCTGTATTTAGCACAGAGCTTGGTATATAGTTGTCTCTCAATGAGCATGAAATTAGTGGATTTGGACTAAAGCAGAAAAGATTTAAGTTAAATGCTGAGCTGGCTAGAAAACAGCCTGGGATTGACAAACAGGAGACTTTGAGGTTCTGCTTCCTGGAAACTTGAGAAGATAGTATGAATTCTGTTCAGGTTCTATGTCAAGTTGAAGGCCTTCTTAGGGAAAAGGTTCTTAGCAGAATAGTGATCCACTGACATATTTTTCTAAGGGCCTAGAGAAAAAACATGGGTATGCTGGACTCCCGGGCCTGTATTTCCACAGTTTACCATAGAGTCTTAACAAACGATATTGCACCTTAGACCACCTGTCCATAGACTGGGTCTGGTAATTCAAGCCTTCTCTCTCGTAGAAGTTTTTAACGAATATAAGTCACAAGAACTACGAAACTATTAAGATGAAATATTTGACTTGAAAATAAAGAATTGTTAATACTAATTGTTCATATTTATTGATTTTATATGCAGTTTGTCATGATTGTCACTAATAGTATAGAAACCTGATGTTAGTTTTTTGAACCAAAGCAGAATCTCCCATCCTTCTGTTTTTCCGTATCTCAGCAGCCTAGATAAATGCCAGTGATTTTTTTTATATTTCATAACACTTATTTTTCTCTTGCTCTTGAAGGAAACAGCTGAAAAGTCCAAGAGAGTGAGTACCAAAGAGATGTAGTGAGGAGGCATCTGGGAAAGGTGTCCAGAGCCCGGCACCGTCTCCTCCACTTCAGCGCTGAGTTCAGTATACACAAGTGTCTGCTACAATTGCCAAATCACCAGTATTTGCTTGTATAGCAACAAATTTTATTTTGTCTATTTGTTTTGCAATAAAGGAAAAGAGAGTGGCTGGCTAGGAGGGGAAAGGCCATAGCCTTCATTGCTAGGAGTGAGTTGAGAGAAACTGTAAAATGGGGCTCAGGGGTTGGAGGCAAGTAAGGAAACTGCATCAGGGCTGGGAGAGGAGCAGACCCAGATGTGAACCACTTCTGAGTCTACCACAGCTATAAGCACGCTGCAGGGAGGGCAGGCAGTGCCAGAGAGAACTCAGCCGACTATCCCTAGAGGAGGGGTTTGGGCAGCTCAGTGGAGCACGCACTCTGCTTCCAGCCCTTTCTGTTGCCGTCAGCGTAACAGACTCCAGCAGCTTTGCTTCTCGTGGCCCCAGCCATTGCCTCTCGATACACAGCTGTCTTACTCGTTACCCAGTGACCCTCAGACTTGATGGAGTGTCTGGGAGGGTGCACCCAAATGATACAGATACTTGTGGACTCTCAGCCCCTAACCAAATTTTTAAAATACTTTTTACCAAAGGTGCTATTTTTCTGTAAAACTTTTTTTGGCAAGTTGACTTTGTTTTTCAATGATCATTATATTATTGTTGTTGTTCTTTAATATTTTATTTTGACTAGAAATTAAGCTTTTGTAATTATTTTTCAGTAGTCCTACCATTTCAGAGGTGAAGGAGTTCAGGGTTCTTCCTGGTGCAGGGATCACTCTAACCCAGGCTTCCCACCCTGCTGCATAGTAGCTGCAGCCCAGAGTTCATGCCCCTGGCTTCCAGTGGCTCCACAGTTGGCCCGAGGAGCAGCGGGTGCCTCAGACAGAAGCCAGGGGAAGAGAAGTGTCTCCATACAAAGCTTTCAAGCTCCAAGAGCTAATTTGTTTTCAGTTATTTTAAATTCACGCAAATCAGTATTTCAAAGGATGGAGACAAGTGCAGCCAAGCAAGGGTTAGATATCCCAGCCTATCAATATGCTCGTTGATCCACCACGAACTAGGAGAGTGACTTTGGTCCTGGCTCTTCCTATTTCTGGGCCTGTTTCTCAGTGCGCAGGCAGGAATGCATTGACCTTTCGATTTCATAACTTGTAAAGTCTCTGGTTTCAGAGGAGCCAGGTCCCTGTGATTTTCCTTCTTCTTAGGATAAATGAAAATTTGTTATAACAAGAAGATTCAGACAGCCAAAAACAAGATGACCAAATCCGACCTCAGTCTGAGTGGCCGCACAGGCTGTGCTGTGATGCAGAGCCCTCTCGGGTAAACCCTGCCCTGGGAAAGAGTGGGAAAGAGAACCTCTCCACTGTGTCTGCACTTCTGTGTTTCCTCTTTAACCTTGGAAACAGCGGGCTTACCATTTAGATGAGGACAAGAGGAGGTTCCCACGTGTCAAAAGAGGGGGAAAGTGGAAATTTAATCTTAAAAGTGTGATTGGTAAGAAGTCAGTCCTTCCTGTGTCTTTTGGCCTGTGTAGGTATTAACCCCACTCAGTACCATATTTAACAAGCATTAAGAATAACAAAGATTAAAAACTTGACATGAGATCTAATTTTCAGAAGGCAGGTTACAGACCATTGGAGGGAAATTATGTACTGCACAGGCAGCTATCAGAAAGTTGTACCGGAGAAGAAATGGAATTTTTTCTAAACAACTTCCTTTCCTTTGCAAGGAGAACATTCCACTTTGTTTAGAATTCTGAGCTTTTATCTACCATCCCACTTAAAAGTTCCCTTGGAACCCTCTTGTGCAGCCTGAAATGCACCTCCCTGTCCAAGTGCCTTGGGGAACCCCCAGCCGCACGGCTTGATGGAGTCTGCCAGCACTTGGACACCACAGGAGTGAGAGCAGGAGAGCCAGTTTGTAAAGCAAGGAACCAGAGTGTCTCCTTCCCAGTTACATTTAGGACAATGGTTGCCATCCCAGACTTACCCTACCCTGCAACACTGAATTCCCAAGAGCAAATCTGCATTCCTTCTGTAAATAGGGGAGCTATTGTCTGCACCATTGAATCACATGATCTGATGACCATTCATGGAAAGCTGCTAAATAGCCTAGTTTGGGGAGTCTTGCATGGAGCAAATAATCAGGATTAAACCAAGTTCAGTTCCTCCAGCTCTCTAAATGCACAGGGCTTAGTCTGCAAGCTTCCTTGGGCTTCCTCTGTGTACATGGTCTTATAAACATATTAATTACAGCATCTGTTAAGATCCAGTGTCCATGGAAACCTCACAAGCCATGACTCTGGACTCCATCACTGTTTTTGGAAAGCAGGGCTCCTCCACCTGCCAATAAATCCACGTGAACCAGTTGAATGTCTTTCCTTTACACTTATGTTTTTAAACAGTCAAATCTCAAGAAGCAATTTGAACAGGTTTCCGTTGCCTATGTGTCTGTGAAATGCATTTGTATTTAGTAGGCTTCCATATTGCATTTAACTTGTTTTTGTAACTCCTGATTTCTTTTTTTTTTTTTTTTGGATATTCTTGATAAATAAAGAAATTAAAAATAACAATTGTATTGGTTTCCTTTCTCTCCAAATAAAGTTATGAGAACATACTTACCTCATAAAAATAAATTTGGGTTTCAGGAGCCTTAAAAGAGGCCTGAAGAATTTTTTCCTAATACTTGGAACTGTAGCTGGGAGAGAAAACTTACTCAGGGAAAGTTTAAAAGAATGATGGGTGGTGGGTCGGGTGGGAAGTGGTAAGAAGTCTGGCAGCATTGGTGTATTGAGAAGAGATTAAACTAAATGACTCCTGAAGCCCGAATGGGTCCTTTGAGACTGGAATGGCATCAGGTGAGGCTGGCTGCAGGTAAACCTGTACGAGAAGCCAAATAAACCTGGGCAGGTGGCACAGGGAGTATGCGAGAGTCTGGCTGGATGACCTTAATGGCTTTTACCTGATAGACACAGCATCCATAGGGATAAACATTTCCAAGTGGACTGAATGTTGGCTGTTTAAGACCCTCTGTTCTGCTCCGTCTTGACACATGACCAACACTTGCTTTTCATTTCCCTGTCGCAGTGATTATAGGCATCATGTGCTCCCCACCCCAACAAGACCACCTTCCAAAAGAGCTCATTATGGTTGATGAGGTTTATGCTTGCTTAATTTTAGTCGTGTGTAGAAATCTTGCTTCTCTAAAATTATAGCCAGATCACCTTGAATGGATTTATGGTATTACTCAAATGCTTATCAAATATTAAAAGGCTATCGCTGGTTATGTTATGGTTACAGGTTACCAATCTCATTAATCACAGTTTGATTTGAATTTTCATTCTCAGGGATCTTAAACCCAGTATAAAAGGTACCTTGTCCACAACCACTTTTAAATACTGGCTGGCCTCACCCCACCTTCTGCCAGGCTCCAAGAACACTTTTCCTGCTATTACAGTACATGTGTTCAGGAAGTAAAAATAAGTTAAAATAGCCTGAAAGAAGCATAATCCAAAAGGTAAGTTTTCTATAACCAAAATGTAATATTATGAACTGTGCAAATTGGTATAAATAATTAGCTTTAGTTTTGGAGCACTTGTGTTAAGATCCCATCGGTCCCTCTTGAATTATTTCTGAAATAAGAGCAAGGACAGAGAAGGAAAGAAAAAGAATATGAAGAAGTAGATGGACGTAAGATTCCCTCAGGGCCCTGGAGTAAACCTGGATGGCTGTGGGACACTAAGAAAGAAACCCTGGGCTACTGCTACTGAGAGCCATTCCATGATGCAACACAGGAAGCATTTTGGTGCCCTAATGAGAAGGTCTTCCTCAATAGGAGTTCATTTTTAAAAAGTATTTAACACTTATTTCTTACTGAAAAAGTAATATATGCATATAGGGGAAAAAATCCAAGTTGTATCAAAGAAAATACAATGAAAAAAATTCTTCCTCTTAGAGAATGTATACATTTATAAATTTATAATTGCCATTGTCCTTCCAAGAGGTTGTACCCAGTTACATTCACACCAAAATTGCATAAACTGAGTGTGTCAATTTCCCTACTACATTTTGCAGGCACTGTGTCTTAAAACTTCTAGGCCTCTAATAGAGGAAAAATAATAACTCGTTGCTTTATTTTTAAAATATATTTATTATTCACTTTGTGAGATGAGCATCTTCGCACGAATTACTATTCCTTATCCTTTCCTTTCATCCCCTTTACTCGGTTTTCTATTAATTATTAGTCTTTTCCTTACTGGTCTGTAACAGTTCCATGGCCCTGTGAAAAGATATTTTACATATAAGGAATATACAGTCCGTAAAGTTTAAGGAACTTACCTAAGACCATACAACTAGCAAGGAATAGAGCAGGATTCAAACCTGGGTCCCTCTCATATTCATTCTACTTTGCCACAATGTTCCCCTTTATTTTAAAGATCATCACATCCACCCCAGTGTTCAGTGCATTATTTAGAGTAGCCTAGATATGGAAGCAACCCAAGTTCCCATCAACAGGTGAGTGAATAAAGGAGATGTGGTACATATACACAAGGGACTATTACTCGGTCATAAAAAAGAATGAAATCTTACCATTTAAAACAACATGGATGGAGCTAGAGGGTATTATGCTAAGTGAAATAAGTCATATGATTTCACTTACATGTGGAATCTAAGGAACAAAATAAATGAACAAACAAAACAGAAATGGACTCATAGATATAGAGAACAAACTGAGGGTTGTCAGATGGGAGAGGTGTGAAAAAGATGAAGGGATTAAGAAGTACAGAGTGGTAGTTACAGAACAGTCACAGGGATGTAAAGTATAGCATAGGAAATATAGTCAATAATATTATAGTAACTATGTATGATGCCAGGTGGGTACTAGAATTATCGGGGGACTCACTTTGTAAATTATATAATTGTCTAACCACTATGCTGTACATCTGAAACTAATATAAAGTAATATTGAATGTCAACTATAATTGGAAAAGTAAATAAAAAAATAAAGATCATCACATCAATGTGAACCATTAATTCCCAATTAGTGTTCTGTATTATGTAATTGCTGATCACATATAACTAAGTCATCAGTTCTTTCATTTAGTTCTAATAACTGCACATCTCGCTTCAGTTTCTTCTAAGACTAAGTAGATATGTGAGTGCAGTTCAGGTCAGGCCTCTGAAGTTCCCTGAAATGCGATCCCCAGTCCAACTTGGTGTCCCAAAACCTGATACACCCAGGAGTCATGACAGCCAGTCTGGGTCCCCCGGCAACCTCCAGCATACACCTCAAAGGTTTAGCCTGGTGAAGACTTACCTTAGGAACGCACATGCCAAACCTGTGCAGTTATACAAATCTCTTGTGTGCCTTCTTCCCGTGACGGCCTATGTGGAAGTTTTAGAAGCAGACAGATGTCTTACCTCCATGGGAACTATTTTATCACCTAAATCCAGTGATTCAAAAAATTTGGTTTTGAGCCCATTTAAGTCTCTGGTTCCTGAGCAGTTGTCTATCTTTTCTCTTACATGCCTTTTCTCCTCTCTCCCATAACCTAAGCTTGATTTCTACAAGGCCCAACCACCAGGAAAGACATTGCCCTGCCCCTACTTCCAAAAGGAACAAAAGAAGAGAATCTCTATATAAAGCATAGAGATAGGAGACATTTGGACGGTGGGGCTTAGGAATAATAAAGACCCTCAAATCAACTGGGTAAATCAGAAAAGTTCAAGAGTTAGTCTAACCTTTGTATTTTCAAAATGTCCATGGCCTTTGTCCAGTAATGCCCAGAGAAGGCCTTTACAAATGCAATAATTCCATAATCACTTTTATAGATGTCTCTTTCTCAGATTCTCCTTTGTATCAGCACAGTGCCTATGTAACATCATTACCAAAACCCAAAAGATCTGGTTTAGAGAAAACCTGCTCTGCCCTGAACTCTCCAACAAGTTGTCTGTCACTGAGGCACCACATCAATACAATATACACAGAGTATATAGTTCATAAGGCCTTTAATTATCTTTCATTTTGCAGTGAAGTCTTTTAAAGTTTACTCAGAGAACTTAACATGTGAGAGGCATAGGTCAAATAAAAGTAAATCTTAAATTAATTAGAATTAGAGAGAAAGAAACGAGATTTCAACATAAGACCTAAGATAAGAGAAAATTAGGGAGCTTCTACAATTTTAGTCAACATCCAACACACTGGTCCTATTCCATCTTACTTTTTTTCTGTTTATGGCAGATAGGCACCCAGAAGAAAAAAGAGCATCACCCACAAGAGAAAGCCAGGAGCTCCAGGCAAGACCATTTTGTTCTTGGGCGGATGTGATTCAAGTCTCTTAAAAGTAGCCAGATGTGCGAGGCTACTTTCTCCCTGCAAAAAAGAAAAACAGCATGGCAGCCTGGAGTTTTGTATCAGAGACAAACTCTGTGTTCAGCTTCAGTGTATTTCTGAAAGTTACTCAGGAAAGACACCTTTGAATCTCCTCATGCTCTCTTCTAGCCACTATCCCTTTCCTGCTCCAAGGGTTACCATTATCCTGACTTCTAACAGCATTGATAAATTTTGCCTGTCTTTGTACTTCATATGAATGGATTCATTTAGTGATATACTACATATTTTAATGATCTGTTTATTTACTGTCTATTCTCCCCACCACTAGCATGTAAGCTCCATGAGAGTAGAGATTTCTTTTATTCCTTGTTGCATCCCCGGTGCCTAAAAGAGAATCTGGTACAGAGTTGTAGCCCAACAAATATTTCACAAATGAATGAAATATTGAACAAATGAAAATGAGAGTAAGAGAATTAAGAAGGGCTTAAAGTCCGAGCCAAATCCTGATGGATGAGCAGGAGTCCATTAGGCAGTCCAAGAAAAGAAAGGCATCCCAAGCATAGGAAGTCTCTAAACAGGCTTGACAAAATGAAAAAATAATCTAGAAACCACAGGATTTAGTAAGCTGAGAACAACAAGTAATAGCTTGTTGAAAAACGCCCTGTATCAGTGATTCTTGAATTTGAGAGTGGGTCAAAATCATCTGGAGGCCTTGTTAAAACACAAATTGTTAGACCTACCCTCAGAATTTTTGATTCAGTATGTCTTGAGTGGGGCCTGAAAATCTGCATTTCCAGTAAGCTTCCAGGTGTTGCCAATGTTGCTGGTTGGGGTATGCTGCTTGGAGAACCACTACTGTCCCCAATGCTCACACTTCATATTTTCAAAGGTTATTAAAGTGGAATTAAATTAGAATTCAAGAATAGAATAAAATTTAGGAAATAAAAAATATGTGAAAATTAAACAACACAATTATAAATAATGGGTCAAAGAAATCTCAAGAGAAATTAGAAAATACTTTGAGATGAATGAAAATGAAAACATAACAAAACTTATGCAATGCAGCTAAATCAGCACTCGGAGGAAAATTCACTGCTCTAAATACCTATATTAAAAAAGAAGATCTCTACTAGTACACCACCATCATTGGTTGCATGCATGTTCCAGGGAAAGGCCTATCCCAGTTGGCTTTGCCCTACCAGTGCAGTAACCCCACCTGGCTCAAGTTGATGCCTG